TCAGAAGGTGGACCCAGGCTGTAGCAGCTCCTGACAACATCCCTAAATCAGATGCATTCAGGCTATTCACAGAAACAAAGGCTCACATCCCAAGCTCTGACAATTAGATTTAACCACATTAAAATACAGAGACACAGCCCTCTCCAGCATAAAAATTGGGTTAGGAGATAAACAAAACCTTTCCAAGCCTCAAACCCTTCCTTTGATTAATGCTTGGAAGAGAAGATGGGGATGGTATGACACGGTACTGTGCCCTGAGCTTTCAGAGATGTGGCTTCTGGACAGCCATGAAAGAGATTCAAATGCCAAGGCTGTGGACCCTTCAAGGAGAGCAGGCTTTGTGCATATTTATAACAAGGGAGTTCTTGCTTTTGTGCCTTCACCAACTTCAAGCAAAGCACTACAGCATAAAGGAAAGTCTCTTCAGTAAACTCATCCCAAGCTGCTAAAGAGTGCAGTAAAGTGTATCCTTTCTCCTAGTCTTTTCTGCCGAAGTTCAGCTGCTTCCCACCTACCCCCAAAAACAACCTTATAAATATGAGCTCTGATCCATGTACATAAAAATATATAAATACCTCTAACTCATACAGATGGCTTCTTCTTCTGAATCCTTGCCTATTGACCAAACACTGCTTTCCAAGCCACCATGAAAGGCAGAAAACAGAACAAAAGGATGCTGTAGCAAACATGAGAACACAAGCTAGCAGTCAGCTTGAGACGAGAACAGGGAAAGCCTTTCATTAATGACTACCATAACAGGTACCATAGTCTGGCCTTGGTTGAAATGAGTGTGATGCATCATGAAGTTGTAATAGGGAGGGAGGGAGGATGCGATTTTTTTTAAAGAAATCAGTGACAGCAATAAAAGGATGGGAACAAATTATTTGGGGTAGAAAATAGATCATAGAAAAACTGATGGAATGAAACCAGGCAACAAGCTGAATATCAGGAAGCTTCTCAACAGTGAACTGTCAGATAGCTGCCCCATGGAAAGGGGGGAGCCAATGTTACCTTAACTGTTTAAATTTAGAGTGGTCAGAGGCATGTTCTTCTACCTGCTACCACCTGAAAGTCATGCCAGGGTTTGCATGACTGCTCATCTGGGGAAAACTACCTTTAACTTCTCAGATTTCACCTATGACCAAATGCTGCAAAACATTTATTTCTGTTACAGCATTTCCCACGACGGCTACCGTCACAAGTTCAGGTACTAACGTGTTCTTGCTGGGGTGGATCTCTGTTTTCATGATACACTTAGTGGATACAGAAAGACATGTTGCTCTTCTGTTTGAGATTAACCTACTTTTTTAAAGTAAGGGTAGCAGCTATATAGTACATGCTCAGTTTCTCTTATTGCTGTTGCAGTTTTCACCTAATTTAAAATGTTATCCCATAATGTTATCTCACATAAGAAACATTATGTGGCTTTGAAGTCAACGTTTAACCTAGAACTATAAGGTTGGGGGAAAGATGCACATCTCTACCCTGTGTACTTGGTACGCTTATTAGCACAGTTAGAATCTTGGTAAAATAAAGTAAAGACTTGGCATGGGATTTTCATTTGCACGTAAAAGAGTGCACGTCATAGCAAATGTGAATAGGACTTGTGCTCCTAATGCACTTAGGCATTTTTGGAAATCCCATCCTGTAAGTCCAGAGATTCTTTCCAAATAAAGCTGTAGGTTCAATGTGCACTACCTACACACAACTAAATTCAAAACCAGAACTCTTTTGCATTTGGCCTCACAATGCTCTGAAAACGTTAAGAGATAATTTCCTTTTTGCTTTGCTGGAACCTAAAGATTCCCTGGGGTTCTTAAAAAGGAAAGTACTAGAGCCTGGGGAACCAGAGCCTCCCAACCATCATTCCCTCTCTCATTAAAGTACATTCCAAAGCCTGTTGACTCATGCAAGTTATTACTAAGCATTAATGGTTAAACCCATCTGTACATTAACAACCCAAGTACCCCACGACATTTCACATAAGAAAGGTGCTATATAGAAAACATAAAGATCACTGTTCTGCATCGTATAAAAGGTACTTGCTTTTCTGGATACACCAATAGCATATCTGAAAATAAGCCTCGCCTGTTATGCAGTTTGCTGGCGATACAAACTGGTCTGATTTTTTGATTTTTCTCCCCACTGCTGTTCACCCACTGCAAGGTCAAAATAAATTATATGATGTTATAACTTACCAGGACTTATCTGACTTCAGTCAGCTAGATGGAAAGGGATGAGTGAATGTTTAATAAATGTCAATTCCTTGAATGAATCGTAAAGTACTTGGCAGGTTAAGATCCATTCCTGGTTCTTATTCACTACTCAAAGTCCTAATTAGCATCTGCAATATCACAATTGGTTGCTGAGGGACAACTAATGCCATGGAAAAAAAAAAAAGAGTCTAAAACATATCTGAAATCCTGATACCTTCTCTTAACAATGAAGGGAGGAGGGAGAAGATAAACAGTTTCTAAATCATCATGTATTTTAACTGCTTACTTATATCCATATACCCCCATCCTCAAGCAAGGAAAGCAGCTCACACAGGAATGTCAGATATGTCCAAGATAAAGTTAACAAGACACACAGGGACACCATCAGCACACAAACCATCCCATAGGTAAGGAAAAGTTCACAGTAGCTGCACCAACACACACAGTTCAGAAAACCAGCTACTTAAACTGAGAATTTAAAGTCTGCTCCTCTTCCACAGAAACATACAGACATAGAGATCAATTAATGTTCTGGAGGTAAGTTTACACAGGCTTGGGTGTTGCTATGCTGGTGCGAGAGTTGCAACCTTCCCCATAAAAAGCTCTATCTGTATCACTGAGGATCATCAGGGAAGAAGACAATGCCATTCCAGGAGAGGAAGGATGATGGAATCTGACCCTTAAAGATTAATCAACTATTTTTCAATAGTTATTAAAATCACGCCTTCCATTTGATAAGAGGTGGTCCTATTTATAAGGTAGAAAGACCTGTATTTGCAGTCACTCTCATTTGTACACAACCTGTAAGTTGAAGAGAATGGGTTTTGGATAACTTGATTGGACTGGTTCCACCCCAGGTCAATGCAATCCAGCTCTGTCGGCCAAGAAAGAAGGTCAGCTCAAAGCTCCAAAGAACCCCAGCCAATGTGAATTGCAAGAGAGAGGTGTAGGATCCTCATGCCCTTAGTTCAGTACAAAAGGGACTGTCTTCTCTGTCAAGATGCACAAAACTGCATTCTATGCCAGATTTAACAATGGTTCTGATCTTGAAGCCTCAATGTCTATCTCATTATTGGGTGAAAACTTGGTTTGGCAGAGCAATGAGGCTGCTGGCTTTGAGAACAGTACTTGTTATCCATCAATCTGAAAATCAAATACTGAGTATTCCTTCAACAATTAATTGACATATTCCGCTTCCAGCATTGCATTGTTCTCAGAGAGGATATTGGTGCACAAATGTTTTGGTATGACAAAATGTTCACATAGATGTTGCTGCTAAATACAAAAGTGGATGTGTTATTAAACAGTGTGAATTAACCAAGGAGAAAAAACTCAACTAAAAAATATTTCCAAAGCTTCTTAAAAGTTTGGCAGGTGGTGATGAACCATTAACTAATGCACTTGACTTTTCAGAAACTCATTGTACAAACATCACTTTGTAAATGCTCACATTTCGATGGTCCTTTCTCTCTAAATCACATAAGAACTATAGACTTCTGCCTTCATCAGGAAGTCAATAACCTTATCCAAATGGACATGTGCATGCAGTAATTTCCCGTAATCTTTTTTGGTCCATTTTTACAGATTCTTCATTTGAAGGCTCACGGGAGGTACTCAAATCGACAGCATCAGAACCCAAAGTCTTTTTGTTCAACCACAGGCCTGGGATAGCACAGACAGAGGTAGTATGAGCTTCTTACAAAATGTGCTGCTGAAACACAAGAACTGGTATTTGGAAAGAGCTCCTACTGCAAAACCGATCAGTCCCCACTGCCATTCAGTCTCTTGTTTGTGTTACCTTACCAACAAGAAGGTGAAATGGAGCAGAAACTGCCACTCCTAAGCCCATCAAACCTTAAACTAAAAATATCTCCATCACTTTATTTTACAATCTGCTTGTACAAATATGAAATGTCACAAAATAAAAAATATGCTCTACATTGAATAATATCTTTAGTCTCCTTTCCCCCTTCTAGATTAGCAATTACTTTAATTTCATAACTTGGAACTGCCCCACTAGACTTCTGCTGTTAAGTGTTACAGAATATGTTTCATTAGAAAGCACATGACAATACTGGTAGACACAGATTTAGTCATACTAGCTGTGTGTTCTGGTTTACAGGGGCAGACAAGCCATTATGCCCCACTTTTCCCAGTTTTCTCAGGAGTCTTGGCTGCAGAGGTTGCAGGAGGTCAGGATTCATGGGGTTTTCATAACTTGCCTGCACACAGGAATCAAGGAGACAGGCACAGCTGACTGACAAGAGCAACCTACACATTCAGGAATTCATAGTTAATGACAAACCGGCGGTGACAAGCCCTGCTCCTGCCAGACATGCGAAATTTGCCTAAGATGCACCCTTTGTGGAGAAACTGATAAGACTGTTTGGAATTGGGGGGGCTTTCAACAATTTTGTTTTGCTAAAACAAGTTTAAGATTCAGGCCTCATAACAGTAATCACATCCCCCTAATGAACACAGCTTACTTTCATACTTGCTATGTATACCTTTTGTCTTGTATTTATGCCTTTGAACAATTTCAGCTCCCAGCACCTGGCAGGAACTTGCATGATACTGCTTATCATTTGGATTAGCCATGCTGGTCTGAGACAAAAAGACATACAAAAAACTAGAACTCTTGGTTCCAAAATGATACCTTTTATTAGACCACCTGGAAAATGGCAAGAAAATTGTCCTTTTCTGCAAGCTTTTGGGATCAAAGTCTCTTTGTCAGAGTCTGAAGGGACTTTGATCCCAGAAGCTTGCAGAAAAGGACAATTTTCTTGGCATTTTCCAGTTGATCTAATAAAAGGTATCATTTTGGAACCAAGAGTTCTAGTTTTTGTATGTCTATCATCTGGATTTGCTCTTTGGAATGCAAAAAAGGCTTACGTCATTCATACCTGGCATACTAAGAACACCACTCCATAAAGATGCACTGGTAAGTTTGGCAAAGGTCACAATTATTGAGCACATGTATGAACACTGTGCAAGGACAGCACTGTTTAGAGGTGGGAAAAAGGCTAAGAAGGTATAGGATTGTTCTCGGTAAATATATTCAGGGGGTCAAAATCTGAGAGGAAAATGAAACATTTAAGCTAAAGGATGTTAACAACTAAAAATAAGTTAGGGTAACACGGCCACAAATAAACTTAGACTGGAAATGAAAAAGTCACTAAACTGGCCTTTCTTCCCAAAATACTCCTACTGGAAAGCAGCTCCAGAACGTAACCACTTATAAGATGGAACCTGGTTAATTTATATACAGGATTATGTGATGTGGTTGCCTGCCAAGGCAGGAAACTAGACTCAGTGTCACAAGAGGCCCCCATGTCTGATATTCCAATTATCCAACACCTGTGTAAGAAGCATTCCCACATGAAAATATCCAAGCAGCTTTTAAAAGAAAGGGACGAAAAGAAGGGTTTTCAAAGAATCAGCTCTGTGTGCAAGTGTGTGTCCTGTTTTGGCTCCTTCATTTCAGGAAGTGGAAGTAAGTGCCATGCTGGGCATCAAGGCCAGAAAGGCAGAAGACACAAAAAAGTTGTCTGCCTTCCTCAGAGCCATTTAGAAACGTGACTTCCAGACTATCTGGTTTGGAAAAGGAAGGAAATCCCTTTTCCTTTGATCTAAAAATCTTTTTTGCGCAAAGACTTTAAAGATAAGTGGGAAAAAGAGGAGAGATCAGAAAAAAAAGAACAGCAGTAACCCTGCTCTCCCACGAGAAGCCCAAATAAGTAGATCATTTAGTTAGCATTTAAAAGCTCACACTCATTCTGTAAAATTTAGCAGCATTAATCCTTGACTGTAAATGGTTTTAATCTTCTTTATTTAGATAGCTAACTTGGGACACTTAGACTTCCTATTTAAAAATGAATGTTAGAAAGAGAGGCAGCAGGTAGAGTAGATTTGCACCTTTACACACTAACTAAATCAGACATATAGTATAAGCTTTCATAAGCAGAGAGCTTCCTTCATCAGATACTGTGAAGGGACAAAAAGAGAAACATAAAAGCACTGCTGAATGACATGCATTACAACCCTGCATTCATTCAGACAGTGTCTTCCATCCCAAAGTGCTTCACGTCTTTTACTAATCTGTATATAAACGTTTATCTACTGTTAAAAAAAGTCAATTCCACAATGAAACATAACATATATTCAACAGTGTACAACAACAGAAAGCAACAATTTAAGGCAAGGAATAAATTGGTTGGAGTACTGCGTCCAGTTCTGGGCGCCAGACTTCAAGAGAGATGTGGACAGCATCGAGACGGTCCAGAGGAGGGCCACTCGTATGATCAAGGGACAGCAGGGTAGGTCCTATGAGGAAAGGTTGCGGGACCTGAACCTGTTCAGCCTTCAAAAGAGAAGGCTGAGGGGGGATCTTGTGGCCTGTTATAAACTGGTTAGGGGGGATCAGCAGGCGCTGGGGGAGTCCCTGTTCCCCCGAGCGCCGCAAGGAGTGACCAGGAACAATGGTCACAAGCTGGCGGAGGGAAGGTTTAAGTTGGACATCAGGAGGCGCTACTTCACGGTCAGGGCGGCTAGAGTCTGGAACCAGCTTCCAAGTGAGGTGGTGCAGGCTCCCACCCTGGGGGTTTTTAAGAGGAGGTTGGATGACCACCTTATTGGGGTCATTTGACCCCAGTGCTCTTCCTGCCATGGCAGGGGGTCGGACTAGATGATCTGCTCAGGTCCCTTCCGACCCTAGAAACTATGAAACTATGAAATAATTGTATATGCAGTTAAAACTAGAAGGATCTTCTTATTCTTGAGCATACAATACAGTATAAATCAAACTTGAAGCAAGACACGATGTTAACAGCCATATACTTAAAAGTATAATGCAGTGTTTAACAAGCATAAAAGGGCAGCTGCAAGTCCAGCTTAAGGACTGTTGCACCTGGAGTGTCAACTGTTGTGGGAAGCAAGAGATGGGAAAGGGAGGGGATGAGACCAGATTCAGCTGGGACCATCCCTTCCCCGAGTCCACATTTGAACTTTATATAGAGCTGCTTCATCCCCAGTCATTTGGCCTCTGGGAAAGAACCTGCAGCAAAGAGCCAAACACAGAGAGACAGAGCTGCTGCAGAAGCATGTTAAACAGAGACCCAGGATAACCTATTCCTCTTCTCTCTCACTTATGCTACTACTTAGTACTCTACCTTAGCCTCACTTGACATCTACCTCTTACATCCTTCTCTTCTCTTCCTCTCTCTCTCTCTCTACTTCTCTCCCTTCCAATGACTACTCACCCCATCCAAAAATATTATTACAGTAACGTGATGTTTGCCACCATTTTAGCATCTATTCTAGTTGAACATTATCTCCATTTTTGCTACTCACTGTCCACTTTGTCCACTGTAATCTCTAAGGCAGAGGCAATAAGACCCCAATCTCCATCAGATCCCAGACATTCACATGATACACAGGAATAAAAATAAGTCAGCTAAACACCACAGAGAGATCAGTGTATGAGAAAGGACATTTGGAGATGGTTATTATGAAGAAGGACACCACAAATGTATTATCCAAAGAAATTAGGAAACAATAGGTCTTTTTAGTTTTATCTATATCAGAATGGCCTACGGTACATTTTGTAAGATTATAATATTCATTCAGCAATTTTTGCTTTTTTTTTTTTTTTTTTTTTAAATTCCTCAGATGGTTGTAGATTGGGAGAGATAGCCACTGCTCACCCACAGGAAAGGGCAGCATGTCCCCAAGACCTCAGGAAGTCTACAGATCACAGAAGGGGCTATCAGTACATCAGGTTCATATTTTCCCTTCCAAGGCATCCTGACCTTTAATGGTTTAACATTTAACCAGAAAAGTTTAGATACCAGAAATCACATCCCAGAGGTTTTCTGCTAACTGCAATGTTA